GCAGCAGGGGACGGGGCCCCTGGAGGGGCCTGGGCCCGTCCAAGCAGCAGCGGGCTGCCCTGGCAGGCCGTCTGAACCACAGGCTGCCCTGGTGCCCCGCTGCTGCTCCCCATCACAGCCCGGTCGCTCTGGGGGGTGGGCCTGGAGCAAGTTCTCCCCCTGGCTCAAGGCTGGGGAGGCAGGGGAGGGGTGGCCGGAGCACCTGGGCTGGCCGGGCCCCTGCCCTCGCTCTGTGCACCTCCTCACTTCCTCTCCACCCCCATTTCACAGATGAGAAACCGAGGGCCAGACAGGTTAGTCCCTAGCCGCCCGGCTGGCGGGGAGCACACGTGCCAACTGTGGGTTCTACTGAGGCCGGTCTGCCCGATGCCCAGGGCACCGCCCACCCCAGGCCCTCACTGGCCCCCAGGCTTCCACGTGTGCCTCTGTGTCCCCCAGCTGCCCCTCACCACGTCACCTGCCAGTCAGTTGGGCATTTGTGTCTCCCCCGGGCACCCCAGCTCCCGGGCTCCCACACCCCAGCTCCAGGCAGCCCTGGGGTGCCAAAGGAGTGGACTCCAGCCTTGTCACCCTGGGGCAGGGCCCGGCCCCCACCTCGCTGGGCTGCAGGATGCTTGGCCGAGGGACCCCTTGCCCACTGCGGAGCTGGGCCTGGGCGCTGCTGGGCTCCTCCTGCCCTTGGCCACCAGCGGCTCTGACCCCCGGGGCTGAAAGCTCCCCATTGTCAACACCAGCCGGTGCTGCTCCAGCTCCAGTACTCACTCAGGTCACCGAGGCACAGGAGTAGGGCCCGTGAGCCAGACACATGCATGCTCCTGGGATGCAGAGGGCAGGGGTCACGCTCCTGGGATGCAGAGGGCAGGGGACCATGCTCCTGGGATGGAGATGATGAGGGCCAGGCTCCTGGGATGCAGAGGGCGGGGAGCCAGGCTCCTGGGATTCAGAGGGCGGGGGCCAGGCTAGCCTGCGGGACAGGGACAGCCCCGCAGTCTCAGTGTGATGCGAGGAGTGACAAGCTGTGTGAAGCAAGGGCAAGGCCGGATGGGTCTTGGGGGCCAGGAAAGCGTCCAGGTCACATGATGGCAAAGCTGGACAGAGGCCGGCAGGGGGCAGCCTTCGAGGGAGCCGGGATGGTGCTCCAAGGCCCAGGCCTGGCCTGCTGGGCTGGGTGAGGCCCCTGTTTCTGGTGCAGGGATTGGGGTGGGGGCCCAGGACCCTGCAGGCAGCACCGGGCAGAGAAGCCACAGGCAAGAGCGGAGGAGCGGGAGAAAACAGGGGGGCCTCCTCTGCCTTCTCTGACGGGGGCCTGGGTGTTACCTGGACACACCAGGCCTCTAGAGTGGCCGTTGTTGGCCCCAGGCCCATCTCCTGCTTTTATTGCCTGAAAGCTAGGAACTGTTTCTAAATTTTTAAGTGGTTAAAAAATTAAAAATTACACCCATTAGCTATTACCAGAAAACTATCACGAGAAACCCCAGAATATAAGTGTCGGTGAGGATAAGGAAATGCTGGACCCTGAGTGCCCCACTGGGGGGGGGACGTGAAATGGCGCAGCCGCCGTGGAAAACCGCGCGGCGGTTTCTCAAGAGGAGGAAGGTGGAACGCGCATAGGAGCTGCTGGAACTTTCTGTGCAGGAATGGAAGGCAGGGGGACTTAGAGATTTGCACGCCCATGTTCACGGCAGCGTTACTCACAACCACCAACGGTGGAAGCTGCCCACGTGTCCACGAGGGGTCAGTGGACACACAAGCCGGGGGCCGGCCGGCCGGTGGGGCGGGAAGGAGACCCCGACGCCGGCTACAGCACACACGGCCGGGAGGACGTCGTGCCGCGTGAAACAGGCCGGACGCAGGACACGCAATGTGAGGATCACGCGTCTATCGGCCCCGGAGGGGTAAGCGTCACAGAGACAGGAAGGGGGTGGCGGGGGCCAGGGACTAGTAGGGGCCGGGAGTGGGTGTTTCGCGGGGACAGAGTGTCCGTGTGGGGAGAGGGGAAAGTTCTGGAGCTGGAGGGTGGAGATGGCCGCACAGTGCTGGGAGTGCACTTAGCGCCACTGCGCTGCACGCTGACACACAGGTAGGAAGCCACATTTCATGTTGTGTATATTATTAACCACAATAGAAAAAATCACAGTCTGTCTCACATGCACACGATCCGGAATTCACATTTCTGCGTCCATAAATCAAGCTTTGCTGGGGTGCGGCCGCTGCGCTTGTTCGTCTCCTCATTGTCTGTGCGTGAATTTGCTCCTCGGCGCAGGGGCTCTGTGACAGTGAGGATTTGTGGCCTCACCGAGGCCCGAGGCACTTACTGCCACGTCCTTTGCAGACGGTGTTTGTCTGCCCTGCTCCGGAGCCCAGGGGAGGACGCCCCGAGTGGGCCGAGCCCGGGGGAGGTGCCAGGCAGGGGCACCGGGCTCACGGGCGAACGTCTCCCGAGACCCGGCTCACACGCCACACAGCGCGTCCACCGAAAGTGCGCGTTTCTAAAGTTTTTAGTGCATTCACAGAGTTGGGCAGCCATCCCCACAGCGCATTTGAGAACGCGTTCATCGTCCCGAAAAGAAACCTCGTACCCTTTAGCTGTCACCCCGTCCCTTGTCCCCCGTTCCACGCCCAGCCACGGCAGCCACTAACCGGCGTCTGTCTCTGTGGGTTCACCTGTTCTGGACGTTTCCTACGGGTGGAATCACACGCCCTGGCCATCTGCGCCTGGCTTCCCTCTCTCCCCGCCGTGCTCCTGGGTTGGCCCACACTGCGGCGAGGATCAGCGCCCCCTTTCCACGGCCGAGCAATGTTCCACGGCGTGGCTGGACCACGGGTGGTGTGTTATCTGCGGATGAACATGGGAAACGTCACGTGGGCACCGTGGTGCTTATCTAAGGTGTGGCTCTCGGGATGGAGAGGGAGGGTCCAGAGTTGCAGAAGAGAAGATGACCCAGACAGCACGGAGACCCCCAGCTCCGGATCAAGGGAGGGGCCGCAGGGCCAAAGGCTGCCTGGTGCATGGTGGCAAGAAATGAAGAAAGGGGCACCTTGGGGAGCGATCCAGGGCCCCCAGGGATGACTGTTTTAAGCTGAGGGCAGGGGCAGGCCCTGGGAGGACTAGGAAGGGAGAGAGGGTGAAGGTGGAGAGAGAAGGTGGAGAGAGACAGGACAGAAAACGGGTTGTGAGTTTTGGATGGGAAGTTTCCGGGTGTGGAACCGGGCTTCCGAGATCCTGGAACCCAGCTGTGGAGAGGTGTCTGTGAAGACCAGGTGGAGGGGCCAGACCCAGCTGTGCCCCCCCCCCCCCGCCACCCACACTGATCCCCAAAGTGAACACAGCGGAGGGAACACCCACCAACCCAGAGGACCCTGAGAAACGAAATCATCGTCCAAGCTGCTACACTCCTGGTGGTTTGTTCTGCATCAAAAGGTAACCGAGGCTGGGTCTGCAGGGCTCTGGGATTTTCCCGGCACCTTGTCTTGCAGCCTGGGCACAGGCAGGGGAGGGACGACAGGCCAGTCCATCTCGGGCTGCGGTTTGCCCAGTGATTGTCAGGGAAGGAGGGGGTGCCAGGGTGAGATGGCATCTGCCTCGGCTGGGGAACCTGGGTCCAGACTTAGCGCCCTGATTTCTCCCTGCGTTGCACCACTGTGCCCAGGCCACTGTGGACACAGCCGGGGTCCTCCCTGAGTCGGCTACCCATAAACCAAATGGAGACAGGTGCCACCAGCTCCCAGGCAGGTGCTACTCTCCAGGCCACTTGGCAAAGCGGGAAGGTCAGGCAGCCCAGCCCAGCAGAACCCTGCAGGGTGACGGGAGCCAGTGGGCGCCCAGGAGGTTGGCAGTAGACGCTTGCCCTCAGCCAGGTGGGCTCCCTGGAGGAGGGGCTTCTGCCAGCCAGATCAGGAAGGCAGCTGGGTCCCCGGGCCCACTCCATTCCCTGGGATCCCAGAGGCGGCCCAGGAGCATCTGGTCACCTTCGGAAAACCGCCCTCACTACGGCTCCCCCGAGGGCTCGCGTTCTGGACAGTGAGGCAGGATGACAACTCTGCTATTAACAGTGAATCTTAAATGTTTCCTCTGTCCTTGTCTCCTCAGACCGTGCCCCTATTTCCCCCCACGGGCCAGAGAGAGATTCTCTGGACATCCCACCTGCCCTGGGAGGGAGGCCCGGCCACGCTGGCGCAAGGCTGCCCCTGGAGGCCTTTCTCCCACCTGCGCAATCTCTGCGTCCTCGGGGGCGGGGTGGGGAGGGAGGCGCGAGCCAGGCGTGGTGGGTGGCTGAAGCTAAGAGGGTGTCAGCGAGGATAACGGTCGGGGCAAGGAAGGAGGAGGCGCGACCCGGAACAAGAGGGCAGGACGGGGTGGGGGCGCTACTGGAAATGGGGGAGCCGCGGCGGGGCGTGGGCCTGAACGGGTGGGATGCAAACCTCCGGAGTTCTAGGCGCCACCCAGAGCCCTCAGGCCTGAGGCGCACAGACACCACTGGAGAGGTGTGCAAAAAGGGACTGAGGTGAGGGGCTGGGCGGGGACAGCGCTCAGGGAACCTGCACCTTCCAACCCGCCTCGGCCTCTACCATGCCCTAAGCCCCGCCCCGCCCCAGGGGCTATCCAAGCGGACGAACGCACAGGTTGGGGCCCGGCTAGGCACAGGTGTGCACCCGGCTAGGCACAGGTGTGCTTGGGGGGGGGGCGCGCACGCCCCGTCGCGGGGGAAGGCGCAGGGCGCGGTCGAGTGGGCCCCTAGCTTTGTTAGCCACGCTCCCCAGGAGCCACGCGCCAGGCGTACGCGCTTCCTCCTTGGGGCCTGGCGTGGGGCCGCGCCCGCCGCGATTGGCCAAACGGGCGGCCCACGATTGGCTCACACCCTGGCCCCCGCCTTCTGGGCCCAGGGGGGCGGGCCGCGGGTGCGGGCTGCGCGGCGCGTGCTGCCCGCGGGGGTTTAGCGCGCCTCCGGGACGGCTGCGCTGCCGTCCTGGCCACGCCTTCCCTCCCACAGCGCGCGCTGCGCGTGCTGAGGGCTCGCGACTCTGGCGACTGGCTGGCTGCGCGCGCGGGGGCGTAGGGTACTGGAAAGTTGCACTGGAGACCGCTGACAGCGCCTGGGGTGGGGGAGGAGTGCACCTGAGACCTGCGGACTGTGGCTGGGGGCCCACGCCGGGAGCTACGTATTTTGCTCTGGAGGAGGAACTGAGCACCTGCTGGGATCGGGGGACGCACCTGAGACCTGCGGACTGCGCCAGAGGGGCGCACTTAGGCTCTGCGGACTGCGCCCCGGGACCAGGGTGGGGGGGACGCGCTCAGTTTGGGCTTTGCACAATGTGTGCGCGAGGGGGAGGGCGAAGCGTGGCGGGAGGGCGAGGCGAAGGAAGGAGGGCGTGAGAAAGGAGGCGGTGGCGGCGCAGAGGAGGGTTATCTATACATTTAAAACCGAGTCGCCTGCGCTGCGCCAGGGGAAACCTGGGGAGCGTCCTGCCGCACGCGCGGGACACGAGCGTCCCACGCTCCCGGGCTCCCCACTTCTCGGCCTCCGGCGCCTCTCGGTCTCGGTCCCGGGCTTCAGACGATTGGGACAAGTGCCCCGGGGGGTCGCTCGGTGGCGCAGTGCCAGAGACCCCCGGGGGTACGATCGTTCTTGTCGCCCCCAGTTCCTCTGCCTGCACCTCCCTGCGACGCACTGGGACTCAGAGCAGGCGCCTGGCGGCTGGATGCGGGAGCGATGGACGGCGGCGCCCTGCTCAGGCCCGCGCCCCCGGCGCCCGGCGTCCCTAGCGGCTGCGCGGCCCGGCGGAGACCCAGGTCGCCGGAACTGTTGCGCTGCAGCCGGCGGCGGCGACCGGGCACGGCGGAGGTCAGGGGCGGCCCGGCGGCCGTGGCGCGACGCAACGAGCGCGAGCGCAACCGCGTGAAGCTGGTGAACTTGGGTTTCCAGGCGCTGCGGCAGCACGTGCCGCTCGGCGGCGCCAGCAAGAAGCTGAGCAAAGTGGAGACGCTGCGCTCGGCCGTGGAGTACATCCGCGCGCTGCAGCGCCTGCTGGCCGAGCACGACGCCGTGCGCTCCGCGCTGGCCGGGGGGCTGCTGGCGCAGGCCGTGCGGCCCTCCACGTCCCGCGGGCCCCCCGGGGCCGCCCCCGCCGCTGCCTCGCCCTCCTGCGCCTCTTCGTCCCCAGGCCGCGGAGGCAGCTCCGAGCCCGGCTCCCCGCGCTCCGCCTACTCGTCGGACGACAGCGGCTGCGAGGGCGCGCTGAGCCCCGCGGAGCGCGAGCTGCTCGACTTCTCCCGCTGGTTAGGGGGCTACTGAGCGCTGCCGCGGGACGACGCAGGTAACCCCCGGCCGCCCGCGGGGAGGACGGGTGGGGACGGCGGGGCGGGCCGGGGTGGGCATGCCTGGCGGGTCGCGCGCCAGGCCCGGGCGACGGCTTCCATTGCGCTCACTCCTCATTTTCCCCCAACGTTTTCAAGCCCGAGCAAGACCGCGTTTGTTTGTCCGGGATTGCAAAACTTCCTCTCGCGGCCCGCCGCCGAGTGGGGGCGGGGGAGGCGGAGGGAGCGGCCGGCGGCGGGGAGGTCCTGAGTGCCGCGCGCGTCGGGGCGGACTGGGTGCTGGAGGCGGGGTGACTTTGCATTGCAAATCGCGCCCCGGCGGGCCGGGTGGCGGAATGAGTCGGCTGTGCGGAGCCCTGAGTCACCCCGGGCTCGGAGCGCGCGCCCCACCCCGCCCCCGCCTCGTCGCGGGCCTCGGTCTCCAGGACCGTAGAGGCGGCGAAACTGCGGATTCTGCCTGGGGGAGGAGGGCAGGGCCGGGCCGGGCGGGGTCTGCCCCGCGCGCAGCCCGCGGTGATGCGTCGCTTCCCCGCCTTCCCCCGCAGCCGCAGCCCTGGACGCTGCCCAGCGCGCCTCGCCTGGAGCCCGCGAGGTGGACCGGCCCGCGCCCTGTCCCCGCGCCCTGTCCCCGCGCCCTGTCCCCTCCGAGCGGGACGCCGCGGCCCACGCTGCCTCGCCGCGGCCAGCCTGCCAAGGAAGCCAGCGTGGAAACGAGTCTGAGGCTGGCGGCTCCTGACGCTGGGGGCCCCCCAGGTGCGCTGTGACGGGGCTGGCACCTGCACTGCGAGATTTTTCTGGAGGGGTGAAGATTTTATAAGGACACAGAATTTGCTCTCTGCACCTTATCCTGAACTGCTGGAGGGACAGTTGCTGGCAGTCTGAAGACTGACTTTTGTACGAAGACTCCTTAGACTTGGGGCACAATAAAGTTTCTGGAACCCTCTAACCCCCACCTGGAAGTTTCCAACCTGGCCAAGGTCGGGACAGAAAGGCCCCTGATAGGTGGGGTCCCGGCCTAGGGGAGATGCCTGGGCAGTGCCTCCCGGCTGGGGAGACCTAGAGGGGGGCAACCTGCTTTATGGAGGATGAACTTTATAAGTAAACCAGTTCTGTGTGTCAGTGGCACCCTGTCCCCATTCCCAGGTGAGGGCCAGACTCCGCTGTGGTCACTTCTTCCTGGACCCTGCCACCTCCTCTGGAGGGCAGGCCCAGAGGCGTGAGACCAGAGTCCAGCCAGGCCCCCGATAGGTACCTAGGCCATCCAGACACCTCGTGGGGCCGGGGGCTTCTGCAGGTGGCTGCAGGCCGGTGGGTGGCCCCTCGGCTGAGGGCCGGAGGCTGCTGACCACACAACACAGGGCTTGGGGCGGTGCCCAGTGTCGGGCTGGGCTGGGGTGGTCTGACTGTGAGCACCAGCCTGCCCTCTGTCTCGGGGTTCAAGGCACGGGTCCAGGCCACACGCTTCCATATTTCAACTGCCCATGACCAGGTGGGTACCCCAGGAAAGTGGCCTAACCTGGGGGTGCTGCTGGGCTGTGGGAGGGCTTAGCGAGAGGTGCTGAAGTGTGGCCCCGGCCAGCTGCAGAGGTGGGCTGCAGTGCTGACACCCTGAAGGTCTCTGTTTACCTGAGAGTAGTCTTGAAAGGAACAAGGAAGGCCAGGAGGTTCCTGAGGAATCCCCACCCGCCACACCCCACCCCTTCCGGCCCCCAACCTGGGAGCTGGTGTTGGGACATCACACAGCTCCGCCTGTGACCCTGGGCCTCGGCGCCTTTGAAATCTACCTGGGGCCCAGAGCTCCCTTTTATTGCGGAGACGGGAGGGGTTGGGGATCCCCAAGTTGCTTTAGGGTGCTGGGGGCACCTCTTCCTTCAGGAGGGAGTGAGCGAGACAAAGCCACTGGACCCTGGGAGGTGGGAGTGGTGGGAGCTTGGAAGGAGGGTCCCATGGGGTAGTCCATGTAACCCGGTGGCTCCCATGTAACCATGGCAACAGGACGCACAGGCTGCTGGGGTGCATCCATGTCAGCGAGGCTGGCCGGGTCCCCCGTACTGGAGGAGCAGGGACCCTCTCCACCCAGCTGCGGCCTCGGCCTGGGTCAAGGTTCCTTAGGAGCCAGGGTCAAAGTCGACTCTAGCTAGGGTCAAGGGTCGGTTGGTCTCGCGAGGATCAGGCTCACTGGGGTCCTTAGGGCCATCTGCGACTTGGGGCTGCATCCTGTTGTCACGGTCACCCAGGGAGGGCCAGCCATAGCCACCCCCCCCCCCCCAGGGACACACACCCAGGGCAGGGGCCTCACTGAGCCACAGAGCTCTCCCGGCAGCGCCTCACCTTGGCCCCAGGTGAGGTCACTAGGACAACGGGGTGGTGTTGGGCTGGTGGAGGGAGGGAACTGGGGGTGGGGGCACGGGGCTGGGGGATAGGGCCGCCCCACACACACAGGAGCTGGGGCTGGCACGCAGCGCCGGACCTGCCAAGTTGTCAGCAGTGCTACCATGTTTGTTTTCCCATATTTTATTATGGGGAATTCCGGATATGTGCGAAAGCTTTGAAACCCCTATTGAGCACCTTTTTAAATCCTTATTGAGCACCTCTTCCTGCATCCCCAAGGAGCCCGGGTTCCAGCGGGGACGCAGGCTCCCACTGAAGCCCTGTCCACGGGTCAGCCGTGCCGTCTGGCCGGTGGGGGACGCACGGGGACTCAGGAGAGCCGGCGGGGGCTTCACAGACTAACACGTGGCCTCCCCGGCCCCACCCACCCGCCCCAGCATTGTTTTGAAGCGAATGCCCGATTCCAGTCATTTCACCTGTGACATTTCCACGTGTGCCCCCGGAGGAAACTCCAGCACCATCACCGGCCCCTCGAATGAACATCGGTTCCTTCCCGTCAAGCCCCCAGCCAGCGGCACCGTCCCCGGTGGGCTCGGAGTTCCGAGCGGCCGGTTTTATGGACTCAGGACCCACCTGGGTGCAGACGCCAGGTCTGCTGAACGAGTCTCTTACTCGTCTCTTACTCGTCTCGGAGGCAGCCCCCCCCCCATGTCTCTGTTGAAGAAACGGGGTGCTGGTTCTGTCGCACTCCCATGCTCTGGGTGTTGCCGACGGCCCCGTCCTGGGCCCTGTCCGCGTGTTTCCTGTAGAACGAGGGTAGGGGGCGGAGGGGTCAGAAGCAGACCCGAGACCAGGTTCAAGTTTGGCCGTGCCGTTTCCCGGGGTTCCCATCCCGCCGGGAGACAGACTCACGGCGACCGTGTCACTAGGTACGGGGACGTGTTGGGGCGTGGAAGGGACTGCCCTTATCGTGAGCTGGGATGCAGGTGAGTCTCCTGGGCACACGGGCCTGTGGATCGCGCCCTGGTTATAAGGCCCCCTCACCCCAAGCTGCCCTTTACCAAGTGGCGGGCACTAAAGATTAAGCACCTGAAGCCGTAGACTTCACCTGAACCGTAGACAACGCTGGGGATTGTGGTTTGACCCGGGGACGTCCATTCCTGAGTCCTCGCAGTGTTCACCCTCCGGGAAGTGCGTCTCAGCCTGGCGGCTCTCCTGGGCGGGGCACCCTCGGCAACCTGGCACTCGGGTCAGCGAGTGCAGGTGCCCAGCCCGTCCGCGGTCCAGGCCCTGCCCTGCCTGGACGTTACAGCCAGGCAGGAGTGACTGTGACGTGACCTAAGGGCGCTCAAATTTAAAGTTGTTTTTTTTTTTTTCCCTTTCCTTCCATGGGTAGTCTCTCGACTTACGGCATTTTATACTCACTATTTAATGCCTTTGAAAGTAAACAGTCCGAATTATTAGCGTGAATTTTGTCATCATTCTTTGTATTGTGTGGTGCCAGTTTTAAATGCAAATACGAGAACATTGAACGGCTGTGCAGAATCACTGAGGCGACACTGTATTTTGTAGCTTGCACACGCGTGTTTGCGGAGTGCAGACACGCCACCGTTTTTATGTCGCTCTCTGATGCACACAGGCTCTGCCCGCACGCGTCGCCGCCTTACTGAGGGTGAGGATGGAGAGGGAAGGGAAGGGGAGCTGTGGGTCCATCCATCTCCCGCCTCTGTGTCACGCCGTCAGCGCAAGTGCTTGGCCAACACGCAAAGTGACAGGAGCGAGAAAGGACTCTGCGGGCTCCTCAGTCTTTTCGTGGCTGTTAGAACGCCACTGTCAGGGAGGGGCCTGGTGGCTCACGACACCTGTCATCCCAGCACTCTGGGAGGCCGAGGCGGGAGGATCGCTTGAGCTCAGGGAGTTGAGACAGCGCCTGGGAGCAAGAGCCAGACCCCGTCTCTACTAAAAATAGAAAGAAATTAATTGGCCAACTTAAACATATAGAAAAAATATAGCCGGCATGGGTGGCGCATACCTGTGGGTCCCAGCTACTCGGGCAGGCTGAGGCAGGCAGGATCGCTTGGAGCCAGAGTCGGAGGTTGCTGGTGGAGGAGGCTGACGCACGGCACTCTAGCCTGGGCAACAGAACGCCACTGTCTTCCTTCTGCGTTTGAAGCGAGTTGGGTTTGAACGGAAAACTCGGCCCCTCCACGCCCGGGCTGGCTCGGCTGTAGATGTGACATGCCAACCTGGCACCTGCTTGGCGTGTTGCTCGCCGGACTCCCACGTGTGGTGGGTCCACGGGCACCGTGTTTCTGTGGGCATCGTGACTGCCACTGAAATGGGGCGACCAGCGAGGGCGGGCACACGTGTGGCACCCTTGCGTTCCATCCGTGGCTGACGGGCGTGCTCCGGCATCCCAAAACGCACATTCAGAGACAGAAGCGTTGGGGGTTTCTGCGTCCTGCACCCGAGGTCGGCCTGACGCTGCCCCGCAGCTGGGGCTGGGGCGCCGCGTGGAGAGCCCCCCATCACCCCGTCCCTGCCCCTCCAGAGACGGGCTTGGGAGTGAGCAGCCCCCGTGGCTCAGAGAGGGACGGGACAGGGCCCCTGGCGTCCACACACCTGCTCCTCCCAGGGTGACCTCTGTGGGCTGCATGGCTGCGTCCGAGGGTGATTGGCCGGAGTGAGCCCTGGCCAGGGCTGGACGACACTCGGGACCTGCCCTTAAGCCCTGCTGTGTCTCGCCCAGCCTGGGGGGCAGGGGGGGACGCCTGGCTGGGTTGCCGTAGAGGCCTGGCGCGGCCGGTGCTCAGTGAGGGCGAGAGGTCCCCCTGCTCCCAAGCCCGCCCTGGGGCCAGCCCCCCATCCCCACCCGGCTCCCTCCAAGCACCCTGGGTATGCGCCCCAGGGTGACCCCAGTGTGGTAGGGTCCCTTGGAGGGGCCGTTTGCACCTGCTGACCACCAGGGAGCAGGGTGGGCCCCCGGGGCTCTGAGGCCCAGGGACCCCCTGCTAGAGGACCCTTCTGGAAGGAAGAGGTGGGATGCTGGATGGGGGAGGGAAGGGGAGCTGCCAGGTAAGGCCTATGCGGGGGCCAGGCGTGTCCCTGTGGGCTAAGGGGAGCCCGGGCTGTAGGGGCGAGGGGGCAGCACCCAGGGAGGAGGGGCTGGAGCCGGCCAGTGGGCACGGGAGGACGGTCCAGCTGGAGGCAGGGCGTTGTGGTGGGCACGCATGCTGCGGGGAGGCCTGTGAGATTGAGGGGTGAGGCAGAGGGTCAAACGTGGCTCCGTTGCCCCCATGCCCAGCAGATGGAGGAAGGGCAGCTCCCTGGGGTGCCCATGTGGGCCAGGAGGGGCTCTGCTCTGCCCAGAGCTGTGCTCCTGGGGCGGCCGGGTTCGCGGAGCTCACAGAAGATGAGAGGGACCCGGGGCTGGGAGGGCAGAGCCCCAGGGGTGGCTGCCCATCGGGAAGGGGCCGCAGCTGCAGGAACTCGGGGTCACTTGGGTGGGCCACCCTCCCAGCCCCCTCTGGGGGGTCTCGCCACTGCTCCCAGGCCCAGCGGGGCCCAGTGACCTGCCCGGGGGCCACAGGCACCTGG